AGCAGTGGCTCCTGAGGGAAGACCCCACGTGGCCGGACTGGGCCCAGTGTGAGCACAGCTGAGCGGCCCCTCCCCGTCCCTGCCTGGGGCCGCGCACCAATGGATTTGAGGTTCAGAGCCGCACTCACACGCATCCTGTGGAGCTACCACCAATGTGCCCAGCAGGAGCCGGCAAAGGACAGAGTCCACTGCCAGGCCAGGACCCAGCCGGTCCCAGGGGCCCCCCAATGGTCCGACGTACAGGGTCCACCTGGCAGACCTGGCCAGGAGAAGGTGTGTGGGGGGAAGGACCTGGCAGGTGGCACGAGGGGTGGTGCTTTGATGTCTCGAGTCGGTCCCTGCCTCCCGACCACCCCGCTGCCCCGCCCCGGGACCAGAGCAGATGGCACCAGGGGGTGCCCAGGGTTCTCAGCGGCTGCCTTCTGGAAGAAGACTGGCAGACCTCTTCCCAGCCTCAGCCTGGAGACTCCACCACAACCTGCTGAGCGCCAGCGACGTGGCGGCCTCCGCGACGGAAGCGGGGGCCGTGCAGGGGCCCTGGCTCGTCTGGTCTCCCGTATGGACACCCTACCACTGAGGCACCCGCCGAGCTGCCCGCTTTTCAGAATAAAACTGAGGCCCAGAGAAAGTGAGCACCCCACGACCACCCGAGAACCGGGGCAGGGCCTGGCTGACGGACACCTGAAAATCCCAGGGGACCATGGGGAGCGGGTGGTTCACAGGGCAGCTCCACCCGCTGGTTCCGGGGACCCGTCCTGGCTTCTCCGTGCGCCTCCTCAAACACAGTCCAGGGCCTTGGGTTTGAACTCTGACTTTATTATCTTGTAAATGTGAGGTTTACACAGCGCTCTACAAGGAAGGACCACGTCCCCGGGCGGGTGATGGAGCCCCACCTTGGAGACGGCTGGGCACACGCCGGAGCCTGGATTGGCGGGTGTCTCTGTTGTTTAGTTATTGGTACAGTGTCAGCCATGGCTAAGGAGTAACAGTCTCCAGTCTACCGAGTAAGGGCACGGGACGGAAGCGGAGGGCGCGCGCGGGGCGGGAGGACACGACTGCGCCCTCCTGCAACAAAGGAAGGAAGCATCTTTTGTGGCTGAAACTCAGCCCAGCGGCAACATGGCGCCCTCCTCACAGCGCAGCAACGGCTTACTGATTTGTTTATTTTTAACAGTCATGAATTACAGTACTACTTCAGCCCCTAAACAGACTCAAAAAAAAAAAAAAAAAAGCAACATTCGTCCCCTTTCCAAAGCCTCTTGCTTTCCAAACATTCTGCCCAAAAGACTCACGGTCTATTTCTATCAAGTGTCATCCAAATATTCAAGTCAAAAATACCTCTACATTTATTCTTAGCGCTCTCTGTTTTTTTGTCTGCTAAAAATAGTATTGCAGGTTCCGGCTTCTTGTGACAGAGAGACCACCGTCATGTGCAAAATGCAGACCATGGAAGCAACCGATCAGAACACACGCGGGCCGTCCGATTCTACGATTCTAATGCCTCAGACCCTCCAGAATCTTTTTTTTTCTTTCCCAGAAACACAAACAAACAAAAACAAGCTATCTTGCCACTTTTGAGACATCGGGGACCAAGCCCTTGCCGGCTGAACCTGGCGCGTAGCCGTGCGTGCGTGGGGAACCGGCTGACAGCAGCACTGACTCTGGCCCGCAAAGCTCGGGACAGCCAGGACTCTCAGGCCGCGTGCGGAGGGTCTGCGGCCGGCGGAGGCGGCTTCCTCACACAGGCTTTTCTCCACGTGCAGCAAACCGCTTCCATAAAGTTAACCTGTCTCAGGGGACCCAAGCCGAGAACAGCTGGGGGTCGGAGAGGGCAGGGAGTAGTGCCGGCCACTGAGGCTCCAGTTGAATGGGGACGGGTCGGGGCCAGACCAGCCCCGTCTCAGTGCAGCCGTGGGTCCCCGTGGAGGGGACAGGCTCCCTCAGCACCCTGCCCACTGTGAGCTGCGTGGCTGCACACCACCACCTCCTTCCCAGCTCTAAACACAGACACTGAAGGAGGATTCCCCATGGGGCACAGACCCCAGGCAGCCGGCTCTCGCCTCCTCAAGCCCCAGCCAGGCAGCCGCTCCACACAGGGACCCCCGAGACACCCCGCCCCACTGCCTTCCCAGCCTCTCACCCACAGCTTTGTTCAGGGGCAAAATCAGACAGACAACCAAACGGAAGGCTAGTGACCACAGAGAACTCTGGGTGAGACCGGACACAGTGCACAAGAATTCAAGTACCAGGCGCCGGCCCACAGGCCGCCAGGCTCACAGTATCTGCCGGCACCGTCCCTGTCCCTCCTCTGGACTTGACGCCCTCTGTCCCTGCTGCCTCCTGGCCGCGTGTCCCTCTGCAGAGGGAGGGGCTGCCCCACCCCCACCCGCCATCCTCTGCTCCCCAAAAGGTGCCGGTGAATTCAGCTCTACGATAGGTTCTACATGGTACGCGTATTGCAAACAGTCAAGCTCAGGGGTAAGGTGCAGGTGACGTGACTATGGAGTGGCTCGTCTTGGCTACAGGGTCACTTCCCGCGACAGGACAGCCCCGGGTCTGGAACTAGTCATCTTGTAAACAAAGGGGGGAGGGGGCTGGCTTCTGGGATCGGGTCACCTTGGGAAAACGGTTAAGATATGCTAAGGCACTCTGGAAGACCCCCAGCCGGCCCGCCGCCACCCACCCGCCACGGTACATTCAGGACGCGGAGGGAGCCCCGCCCAGATACAATCATGTGCCACGCTGACGACCCGTGTCTGCCTGCGGGACACGTTAGTGCAAAACACGGGGCCCAGCCCACCTTGGGCTCGGGAACCACCGCTCCCCTCGTCTCGGCCCCCGCAGCTCTCGTCTCCTCGCCCAGAACAAGACACATGGCCCTGGAGCCTTCAGGGACAAAGGTCTCAGGCACCATGCCGGCCTGAGTCAGCTGTCCACTCGAGTGGAGGCACAGCCCTGCAGTCACCTGCCAGGACAGGTCCCCAAACGTCCCCAGTGATGGTCAAACTAAAGTGCAAACGTGGGTGGGAAGTGGCGGGAACTGCAGAGGGAGGGTGTGGTGTCCTGGTCCCCGCTGGCTCTTGGGAGGAGGTGGCAGAGAGCTCCTCAGACCAGAGATTGGCCTGGAGGAAGCCAGCAGGCCCCTCAGCAGTCACCCTCAAGCCCAGGACGCCCCTGGGTCCGCCAGGCGTGGGCAGGGAGAGTGCAGAGGAGCTGAGAGCAGGACCTCCATGGCCTGTCCCTGCTCGAAGCTCCTTTCTGGAAGCCACTAGATCTTTCTGGAAGGCTGGCAAACACTTGGCCCCACTGGGGGAGTCAGGCCCGGGTGCCTGGAGTCCAGTCATGGAAGGAGTCCTTCCTCCACACTGCCTCTTCCTGGGGGCTGCCGAGCCTAACTTCAGAGCCAGGAGAGGGTGGGCAAGGCCCCTGGACAGGCCCCCCATGCAGGGCTGGACCCTTGAGCCTCCAGCTATGGGCTGGGCTTAGCTTTTGGTCGGTGGGGGAGAGGGGCCTGTGGGGTCAGGAAGTAGCAGACAGCTCCGCCCGGCAGCCCTCCTACCAGGCAGCCACCCTGTGCCCATGTCCCCCCACCTCAGCTGTCGGGGAGCCCCTGCCCAGCCTCTCCCAGCCAAGCCTTGGCACCTACAGAGCCGTGTGCCAAGCCAAGGCATGTGTGAGAGCGCCAGCACTGGGCAGCCCTGGCCCCGCTCAGGCCATGCCTCCAGCCCCAGAAGCTGGGCCCCCCAAGGCCTCTGCCCCCAGTGGGAGGTGAGTGGGACCTAGCTCGGGGTGGAGGGATAGGGGAATGACCCCTGACCGCCACAAATGACCTGCCCTTACGCACAGGGAGTTGGGGGCAGGGACACCCATCCCTCCTCAATTTCTGCTCTTTTGGGTCCAAAACACACGGGAAACACTTCAATTAAAGTAGAAACAAAAACCAACCAGCAGAATTCCCAAGCGGCCGAGCAGGGGGGAGGCTGCTGCCGGGCCCCTCCTGACGGGCAGACAGCCCTCACCCCAGGATCGTGCACAGCTGGTCCCTGGGGGCTGAGGGGGGCCGGGCCAAGGGAGGGCACAGGCATGGGGTGGGGGTGGGGTGCCCCCTCACCCACAGGGGCCGGCCATGCCCACCCTGGTGTACATGCTACTCCCAGCACGCATGCACACCTGTGAGCACGCCTACACGTCACACACATACACGTACGTGTGTGAGGAACCCGGCTGGGCCTGACCCCTGGAGTCGCAGAACAAAAGAGAAACAGGGAGTGTCCCCTGGGGGCCTGGCCGAGGACCCCAGCCCCAGACAGTAAGGAAAGGAGAGTCATGCATGTCCCCACCCTACAGGCCACTGGTGGCCACTGGCTTCGTCTTCCTGGGCAGAAGGACAGACGGAGGGGCTGGGAGGGAGGGAGGAGGGCTGGGGCCTCCCGCCCCTCCCCTGGGGGAGGGAAAGCTACAGCTCGGGGACTAACCTGGGGGCTACGGGGAGTCCCAGGGCCTCCTCCCCACTGGGTGCCAGTAACCTGGCCGCGTACAGTATGACAATGCATTTCCTTCGTAAGGTTTAAATACAGGCAGGATAGAGTCACGTTGGTTTCAGGCAACAGTAGCAGTTCAGGGGTGTGGCTCAAACGCACTGGTCTGGATTAGTATTGCATGCAAGCAGCTCTAGTGCTGAGGTCCTTCCGAGCCCGCGGCCGCGCCTCCCCGCTCGCTCGCTCGCTCAACCGTTCGCCCTTACAAAGTCCCCGCGTAGCTGGCCGCCTCCGGTCTCCGGGCCGGCGTCTCGGGCCGGCTGGAGCTGGTGCTGCCCTGGTCGAAAGGCTGCGGCGGGCTCTGGCCGTCGCTGGGCAGGGGCTCGGGGGCGGCCACCTCCTGGATGACCGAGCCGGCCCCGTCGGCCTCCTCGCTGGCCTCGAAGGCGGGGTTAGCAGTGGAGACAGCGCCCAGATCGACATTCACGGTGTCCGTCCTCAGAGCCACGATGGCAGCGGCGTCGCCTCGGCGCTCGGCAAACATGCGCTGTTCGAACACCTGGGCAGCGGTGGCGGGCTGGAAGTCGGGGTCGAGGGGCACGCTGGCGGCCGAGGCGCCCATGACCGTGCGGTACATCTCCACACCCTCGGGCAGCATGGACTTGATCTTGGGCAGCCAGCGCTTACGGACGCGGCGCGCGTTGGTGCACATGTCTGCCGCAATCACATTCATTTCGCTCTCCTTGAAGCTCGGCGCGAAGTTCTGGCAGTACACTGAAACGAGAGGGCTGCAGGTGTGAGGGCCCCGGCCCACCTGCGACCACTCCCCGGGCCCAGCCTGCTGGACAGGGATGCTTCCCAAGGGCTGCCGGGCTCAGAGGCCACAGAGCCAGGACGCCTGGACAAGCTCGGGGTCGGAGCATTCATGAACTCAAGCGGCCACTGTGAGGTCCAGGGACCCCTGAGCACCACCTCCCTCCTCATCCTGCCAGAACACGGTTTGCCTGACCGCAGTCGCAGCTTGAGGGCCACGTGGTCCCTAAGGCCCTATTTCCTCTATGTGGTGTCTACCAAGGACCCCAGGCTAGGGCAGGGCTCAGACAGTCCGGCCAAGCCTGTGGTCTAGCAGAACTCGGGCCACCCCTGCCCACTAGCCAGGACCTGAGTGGGCAAGCTCTCAACAGCTGGGCCTCCCTCAGTCCTCGGTTCCCATGTCCCACCCACCTCCTGAGCAGATCTGGGGTCCTGTGGGAAGAGCCAGGGTGGAACCCTACGGCCAGCTATGGGGCTCAGGCCGCCCTGTGTCCATCTACAAATTGGAAGCAACCAGAGGTCTTATTCGGGGTGTAGGGGTGTGGGGTGTACGTGCATGTGTGTGCGTGTGTGCGGTTGAGCCTTTTCTTCAGCCAAAGGCCCAGTCCAGGGCAAGAGCCACCAATACCAATGGAGGCCACCGTCACCATCATTAATCAACCCCTGCCCACTCCCCACCAGGAGTCACAGGCCACAGCCAGGTCTCCACCCAGTCGATTCCAGGGCAGGTCTGCCATCGAGAGCCCTCCCACAACCCCTGGCACCAGCACGTGTAACTAACAGCTGCCAGCCCCTCCTTGCAGGAACGCAGAATTCGTGCTAGCCCATGAGTGACGTCCTCAAGGAAGCCAGCAAGAGCAGGTTTCACGTTCCGACGGCCGCAGGGGACGTTGGCCAGCCGGGCCGGTGACGGACGCAGGCTTAGTCCACATCTGCAGCTGTGAGGACGACGGTCTGCCACGGAGCGGGACCACCCCACCCCCGCGAGCCCAGGAGCGGGACGCAGCGCGGCCGACCAGATGGCAAAGGCTCAAAATAACCTCTGATGTGAATAAGGGGTTTGTTCAAAGAGGAAAATTAGATCCTATTTCACATATTAAAATAGTTTCACAGCTGAAATCCATCATCCCGGAGCCGGGCACAGACGCGGCACCTCGAGACCTACGTTCTGGGAGCTGCTCTCTGCTCTCGTGCCCCAAAACGCTCACGGCGACACGGGAGGGGCTGTGGAGCACCCGAGACCCCAGCCCACGGCCCCGAGACCCGCCCTTACGTTTCACAGCGTTCAGGACTCGGCTGTCGAGCGGCTTGCGGCTGGGGTCGCTGGTGGAGGAACGGATGCCTGTTCCGCAGCTGTTGGCCAGCGTGTTCCTGTGGGGACGGAGGGACGCTGAGGCAGCTGCCGTGGGGGCGGGGCCCTGGTGGCCGGCAGGAAGGCGAGTCCCCGCCCTGCACGAGGGCCCTTCGTCTGCTTTGGAAGGCCCAGTGGCCATGGTCAGACAGGGAGCAGGAGAGGGAAGGCTCCCCAGGCTGAGCAGGCCACAAAGGTGGTGGTGGCTCAAGGCCTGGACTAGCTCTGTCCTGCCCTGCTGGGAAGCCCCAGCCCAGAGACCCCAGTACAGGACACACCTTAGGGGAGGGGAGGGCTGGGGGTCCACAGCCCTTCATCAGCCGAGTCAGCCCTCCTCGCCACCCATTCAGTGGGCTGAAGCCCCTTCCGCTGTGCCCAGCCTACAGCTGGGCCCCAGCAAACCACCATGTCAGGGAAGCGTGGACCGTACCCCCCGAGAGCCTCAATGACGAGACAGCTCACACCCAAAGGGACCTCTGGGGATCCCCGCTCTGCCCCCTCCTTGGCCCCGGACCCACCTGTCGAAGAAGGTGGCCAGGAGCCTCCGCAGCAGGACCTTGTGCTTCACCCCCGCACACAGGTGACAGTTCATCAGCTGGCCACGCGTGATGTAGACCCCAGAACCTGCGGCCACCAACAGGGACGCGTGAGACCCTCACCACGCTCCCACCCCCCAGGGCCCCAGGGCATGCTCCAACCAAGGCCACCCTCCCCTCGAGGGTCTGTCACTGGGGCTGGGGTGGGGGGCATGCATGTGGCCACCTGCTCAAATGTCACCTGGTGGCCCTGGCCCGCCTCCTCCCCAGCAGAACGGAGCCAAAGCCCCACAGCGATTCTCTCATGGCCTGGTCTGGCCTTGCCATCCCTTCTAGATGCCAGAAAGCCCTAGCAGTGATGGGGGGTTTGAGTGGTCACCCCAAAAGTCAGGGTCAGGCTGGCTTCCCCAGACCCATCTCCCACCCTGCTGACCAGGACCCCTAGCACAAGGTGTCTGTGGGTGCAGACCACCTGGAGCCACAACAGGGGTCTCTCCAGGGCAAGGTGAACAGATGACTAAACCAAGAGCAGGCCTTGCCCCCCAAACAATGGGGGGGCTGTCTCTGTACCGGACCCTGCGCACACAGGACAGGCGACAGAAGCGTGCCACCCATCTATGAGAAGGGTGTGAACACAGGAGGCCACCCGGCACCTGCAGCCCCGCCCCCCCAGGCGGCCTGAGGCCTCACCCCGCACACGGCACCCAGTGCTCTGTGCACCATACCATCGGGAATGGGACAACCGGGCTCCCTTTCTGTGGGGATGGGGCTGGAGGAAGACACATGAGCCTGGGCTCGGTGGCCTGAAGGGCTGCTGGTGCCACTGTCCCTGCAGAAACATCCCCTGGGCCCCAGAGCACCTGCCCAGCTCCCTGAGCCCGATCCTGGGAGTAGCCATCTCAGTGGCTGTGGACATCAGGTCCTAAGGGACCCGTGTCCCCGTGCTCTGCTCAGCTTCTGGGGGCAGACGCTCCCTGCCTGTCTAGGTGCACAGGGCAGCGCTCCCCTCCGCACTCTGCACCCCCAGCCAGGTCGCCGGGCCCCCCTGGGGAGCAGCCAGCTCCTTCTGTGCCCCCAGCTCCTCCTCACACCCATTTGCACTCCTCCGACCCGGACCCCACCCCCAAAGCCTCTCCCCACCGGTCTTGGTACCCCCATCCTAACGTCCCCCAATCCTCTATAGGGGCAAGTGTAGACTCCGTGTCATGGAGACCTGTCTCTGCCCACTGACGCCACTCTCCTCTCATGCGGACCCCCCTTACCCGACGCCTGGCCTGCCTGGGTCCTACCATTCATGGGGCTCAGGGCTGGCCTTGGGGCCTCCCTTGCCTGAGGGCACAGACCAGCCCGGGCGCATCCTCCCAGGGATATAGAGGGGCTGCTCTCACAGACCAGCAACAGGCACGCACGAGCGGGGGTCCCAAGCCCCCAGGGTCAAGGCGGGCATCTGACCAGTGACAGCCAGTGCTGGGCTGGGGTGGAAGGCAGCCTAGCCCTCCTTCGCCCCACTAAGCCCAGACAGGCTGCCGCTGAGGGCCAGGGCTTCACCTGGGCCCACAGCCACTGGCCGGACAACCCCACACCTCCACATGCCACCCAGACACACTGCTGGCCGGCCCTGGCCCTCGCTGTGACGTCCCGCCCACAGGTGTCACGTTAACAGGAGAGAAGAGCGTTCTAGAGTATTCTGGCCCACAGGGAGGGCCAGCCGAGATGCCGCCTGGCTACACAGGGCCAAGGGACCAGCTACACCTGGGTCTGGACATGTGGGGCGCCCATAGGCCTGCCTGGCCCACGGCTGGGACTCCTGTGAGGAGTAGAGGGAAGGGCTTGCTGGCCAAGGCTCTCACCTGCGCAGGCTGACAACACCATGCGTCTTCATCTCTTCACTGAAAAGCCCTAAACCCTACAAGCCTCTGAGGACAATAAACCCCAAGCTGGAGGGTGCGGTCGTAGGGGCCTTGGATCCAGATTCCAGAAAAGCTCTGTTCTGGATTCAGAGCTGCCCTGGCCCTCTGGTCACTGCCGCAAAGGCAGCATTTTCAGGGCAGGGAGGGGGGCCAGGAACACACACCCGGCCCGCTTTTATCTGTGACCTAAATTACAACCCAATCCTGACTTCCATCATGCCAATCAGGGGCCCCACCCAGGGGATTCAATTAAAATGCTAAATTAATTCAATTGAATAACTCCGCTTAATGACAAATTCTTCCAGAGGAAATGAGGGGCAATCCGAGTCTCTTTCTGACTGATTGGGGATGAGCAAGTGCATTGTTCAGCAGCCGGAAGGAAGGGGTGAGGGCAGACGCGCACACACCAGACGGGAAGGAAGGGGTGAGGGCGGACGCGCACACA